CCTCAAGTCTGGTCCGATCCCAACCTCTACCTACTCGTATTCGCATCACAGCAGACACGGACACTCTCACTCGCTCTCTGCACAAATCTTGACGCAGGCTGCACTATGTATGTGTTTCGGTTTATTTTCCTTAATTATTGTAGATAATGATGTATCGTACAAATATTTTAATATAATTGATTTTTGTTATTTTAATAATGAATGGATGTAAGGGGAAATTATTATTATTAAGAAATAATAACTATGTATAGTCTCTGTAAAACATTACAAACGTGTATTACCCTTTCAAAACTTGGTAATCCTTACAATACATTTCAAAAAAGGGAGGTCCGATATTATGCATTTTATATGTTTAAAAGGGGTATTACCTTTATGTACTTTTATTACATTCATAAACCTTACAGTACCTTATACAAAGTTATACTACTTTATCAGAAATCAAGGTCCGATAATATGTAAATTACTTTTTTTACTTTTTTCACTTTTTTCACACCATTATAATGTAATATAACCTTTTAGACTTTTTCCCGATGAAGTTTTCCCTCTCAACAAATAGTCTAAGACTAGGCCTTCCCATCATTCATAACGATCAAGTAAGACCCTCTGTGCTGTAAAATGTTCTCGAGGGTACCAATACTACGAAGGGGCGGATGGAAGCTCAGGACACTCAGGGTGTATTCACAGCGATGGGAAGAGTGAGTGATATGGCACAAATATTAGAAGTTGTTTGTCGCTCATGCGCTTCCATCTTGCTCTACCCAAGTATGAGCAAATTCTTGATTGTCTCTGATCAGTCCTCGGTTACATTCGCTTCGAATAAGGCCCGCTGAATCATCAGTTCCTCTCTGCCATTGACGGCTCACAGACATGTTATCAGACACCCATCGCGTCAAATACGCCACCCATCTGGAAATTTCTTTGAGCCTCTCCATCGTTGACCTTGTTGAAAGGGCCCGTCAAATATGTCGCTTTCTCTGACAGACAAATCACGACCTTCTTGAACCGAGGAATAGCAAGCAAGGTATGAAGAAGTCCACTAGATAATTAACCGCCATAGAAACTAAAACGGCTTCCTACATCACAGTGTTTATACAAGAAACAGAATTCCGAGAACAGCTGAAATACAGAGCCGAACCGGAGGACAGGCAAGCAAGAAAAAATCCATTCAATAACGGTAAGACCGCAATTAGGAAATGGTGGTGAGTAAAACAAGGACAAAGACTTAGAACTAGAATGGGCATGTGCTTGGAGGGGCAACAGGGGAATCAGAGAAAACGATATGGAGGAGCGGGTGGATGGAAAGACCGCCTCTTGACGAGATTACCGCAAGCGGCGGCGTTTGATTCCTTTCCTGGAACCTTCGTTGTCACCATCGTTCTTACTATCAACCCCCTCCGCGTCCATCTTCGCGGTACGACCGGCAGCAATCCTCAACGAGGGTACCCATTCGCCTTTCAGGCCCAGTTCTTGTCGGTCCTCGGCATGCGCGTTGTTGAGCATATGACGCTCAATGGACTCCCATGAGTCCCGGGAGACGCGACCGTTGCACGTTATGCAAAGGAGACATGTTTCTTTAAAGCCGCCAATGTTCCAAGGGGCTTGTTACCGCACTTGAGTGGACAAACGTGCGGTTGCAGCCTCCTGTAAATCGAGCTTTTTGAAATGAGACCCAAATTGACTAAACAGATCCTCTGCGATTACAACGTCGCCGCAGCCAGGGAAAGGGCACTTTATTTGCTCTGACTTAGAAATATTACGTTCCAAACCGATTTTCTCCATGATTGTTACGCGCAATGGCTTTGCGGATGTCCCATTGGCCTGTACGAGCTTTCGGACAAAGCCCTGCCATTCGCATCGCAAGGAGAGCGTGGAGGCAACCTCCTTTTCTTTTTCCGCTTTTCTTTTCGTCTCGAGGGATGATCAACTCTCTTCTTTTCGCAAATCGATTCGCGTTCAATGCCTTTGACATTGTGAGTTCTCATTTTGACGAGTCATTATACCGTCAATATCCGTGACAAGACCTTCTGCTTGTCCTTGTGCGTCGTCACTGTTCTGAGATTTGCGGTTATAAGGGTTCATGGCGTCTTCGGCACCTCTGGCTCTTTTGAGTCCTTCAGGGGATTTGTGCAAGCGTCTTACGTCTGGACCCTCATACTGCATATCCAGCAAGGTAAGGGACTGGGCAGTGTGTTCTTGGCTGTTGACTCTGGGTGCATTAATAATAGGGGAATATGGGCTGCAAGAATCAGACCGAGATGGGAAGGCTTCTGAAGCAGCTTGACCAGTGCCAGTTATACAGTTGCCCTGAACAACTTCTGTTGTGTCATCAATGTGAACACTTTTGCTGCAACTGTCTAGTGCCTTCAACGAGGGGGGGCGCATGATGCCAGCAGAACCTAATGTAGACTGGCCATCAGATGCCATTGTGCACAGGTTAAGCCCTGTTGGGGAATGAACTGCGTAGGTAGTTTTGGAATAGTTGGGCTCGAGTCTGTCGGCTGCAGATCTCTGGTCCATGTTGACAAGACTATACACAGGCTCGACGGGTGTTTGGAGCACCTGGGGAGAGCATGTCGGCTCACGCGCCAAAGGTCTATAGAGCGAAATCAGTATGCTTAAGTATTTGTCAATGTAGTTGACCTACGGCATTGACGTATTGGCGTGCCCACCGATAGGTAATATTACCTGTCCGACCGTCGCGGTCGACGGGATGCGGTTGGTTGCCTCGCAATGGGTCGAGGGTACACTAGGCCTCGACTCACTCGGTGGATTGTGCACAGGTCGTTCTGCTCCTTCGCCAATTCTTTAAACAAATGAGCTATTCGCTCCGCATGGACAGGGAATAGACTTACTTTGATTTGTTGGCGTCCTCATCATCCTCGTCCCAAAACTTCGTCCATTCCAGAAAGTACTCGGGTATCTCTTGTCGTGTACAAGAGTAGATAGTTCCTGGGACGTCCTCGCCGTCCTCGCCATGCGAGGCATGCTGAGGAATCGCTGTCGACGGACTATTGGCTAGACTGCAGCACAGGAGTGAGCCACGATCTATAAAAATGGCGCGCGCAACTACTCACTGACAGTCGCGGGTCATGGCGTGCAATTGTGGTTGTTGCGAAAGAAAATACTCAAAAGGCGAGGAATACCCTTGATCCATTCTTCTCTCGATGAATAAAGCGCAGACGTGAGGGATGATAGCTCTGCCGGGTGGAGAGGGGGATAGACAGGGTAGCGATAGAAGCGTTGTGGCTTGTTAGAGAGTCGTTGGAAGTGGAGAGAGTCAAAGCCAGAGTCGGCTGGGTTGGACAATAATTATACAATACGCTCAGTATTAGGACAGGGACTTGAGTGATTGGAAAGGAAACCTTCTCCCAATCGAGCACTAGAGTTTTCTGCCTCGATGTGCTTCAACGTGCCCCCTATACTGTGCGCTTAGGCAGAGAGCACTGCGCATGGCTCGTGAGGCCAAAGCACTCGCATTAAACCATCCATTTCAGACAATGACGGTCACGATCGATGGTTCAATCGCGAAGCGGGCGCTTCCGCCATCAGCACGGAGAACACGATCCTATTGGGGTGCAAGATCTTCACCTTCTCGACCTTATTCTATGGGCCCTTAACGCAGCTGGACGAGTCATAGCCAAGAGGTCGTGCTCTTGCGGCTTGCCCCCCTCCCCTCCCCTCTACAAACTACTACATAGACCTGTGCAGACTGTTGCACCGTGGTTAGCGAGCGATTAGTAACATGAGAAAATCAATAGCCATATCAGCACAGCATCCTCTGAAAATCGTTCATATTCTGTACACTGTCCCTCTGAGTATCCGTGCAATGCGTCGACACAGGAAGTATACTCAGCTTAACTCTACCTTCACGGCGGTGCATCTACTTAAACCAGGTTTCTTGCCAGAAAATTTTCTGATGAACAAACAAGGCTGTGAGTTAGTCTTGCAATTTTAGGCACGGGCAGACCTATGTGCTAGGTATTCTAGATGGCCTAGCTCAGAGTAAAGTGTTCCCAGATAATAATACACAAAAATATGAACAATTATAAACACTATCTACAATATGTTTCCAGTTTGTATATGATCTTGGATTACACCACATAGCAAGTTTCACATACATAGCAAAGAGAAATTACATCTAATTATGGGCAACTTACATAGAGGTAAAAAATCAAAGACATTACACCAAATGTGATGAGGGGGCAAACAACACATTTCCTAACAAGACTACATAGTATGGCATGCAACACGAATGCTGATGCACAAAGATTGTGTGACAGTTGGGGAAGAAGTACAAAACAGAGCAAGGGAGAATACAGTGCGGGTGTGGAAAGTGTTTGTGAACTTGAATGTCTGGCAAAATGAAATAGGTCAAGAAACGAAACAAAAACATACAACAGCACAATAGAAATACTGTGCCAAATTTGACAAATGTAAGATCAGAGGGTTGTGCCATTGAACGCAAGTAAGAGAGAAACACGGTAATGCTACTAGCAAAGCTTACTCTAGTGTTGTTGTCGCTGCTTTCAAACAAGCAACAACAGCTCTAAGGAGATTTTTACTCTTTCCTACAGTCAAGACATCTGTGAATGCGAATATGATTCTATCATTGCTTGATGCAAGGATTGTGCCAAGTTTGAATTCACTGCTAAGTCTTTTGCCAACTGCTAGATACATATAGATTGGTGATCGCGTGTGCTTGTGGACCGTGCGTGAGAAAACTGAAGTACAGCCAAAAACTGTCGTTCACGCTGCCACAGTGTGCCATTATATTCTTCACAATGTCTATAACTTGCACTTATAGCGCAACACAGTAATATAATGTGGGTCTTATACAGTCTTTCTCTATTCGGAGCTGATGAATACGCTCCTGTCCAGAACATTCGTGTATCCCCATCATGTATCAACTCAAGGACTTAGGACTCTGAATTTGTGCTGTATATTTGCTCGAAAGTACAAATGTCGCGAAGGAGGCAACGATGATTCATGGTGCCCAAGGCGTCTTCGCAAAGATGGGAAGGGTGAGTGGTATGGCACAGATGATATATTTTTTGTTACTCAACATCCAATAGCCCAACTAGTGCCATCCGAGCATAAGCAAACCCTCGGTTTCCTGTGATTCATCCTCGACTGGATTCATAAGTATTCACCAGACTATGTTGTCCGGACTTCCCTAATGGTAGCTTGGCAAAAGGCCCTCTGGGCCATCAGATCCCTCGTGCCATTGCCGGCTCACAGACATGCTATCCAACATCCATCGCGTCAAATACGCCACCTATCCGGGATTTTCTTTCAGACTCTCTTCGTCGATGACTTTATTAAAAGGGCGTAGCAGTTCTTTCGATTTCTCAGATAGACAGATCTCGACCTTCTTCAACCCAGGATAGCGAGCAAGGTATGAGGAACTCCTCTAGATGACACTCTATCCTAAACACTAAATCGTCTTCCTATAACATAGTTCTTATAGGAGGAATAGAATTCCGAGAAGACCATACTGAAACCTTCAGCCTCCTTTGCAAGGCGTGCAACAGTCGCGTCTCCAGGGACTCATGGGAGTCCATTGAGCGTCATATGCTCAACAAAGCGCATGCCGAGGACCGACAAGAACTAGGCTTGAAAAGCGAATGGGTACCTTCGTCGAGGGTTGCTGCACGTCGTACCACGAAGATAGACACTGAGGAGATTGACAGCAAGGATAATGTTGACAACGAAGGTTCCAGCAAAGGAATCAAACGTCGCCGCTTGCGGTAACCTCGTCAAGAGGCGATCTCTCCATCCACCCGCTACTCCCTATCGTTTCCTCTGGTTCCCCTGTTGCCTCTCCCAAGCACATGCACATTCTAGTCCTAAACATTTTCCTTGCTTTACTCACCGCCGTTTCCTAATCGCAGTCGCACCGTTATTGAATCATTTTTTTTCTTGCTTGCTTGCTCTCTGGTTCGTCTCTGTATTCTAGCTGCCTTAAGTGCTTTTTCAGGGCGGCCAATGTGCCAAGGGGCTTGTTACCACACTTGAGCAGGCAATCGTGGGGTCCAGCCTCCGGTAAATCGAGCTTCTTGAAATGAGATCCAAAGTGGCTGAACAGATCATCCGCAATTACAACGTCGTCGCAGCCCGGGAGAGGGCACGTTATTCGCTCTGACCTGGAAATGTTACGCTCCAGACCAATCTTTGCCATGATCGTTACGCGCAATGGCTTTGCGGATGTCCCATCCGCTTGTACGAGCTTCCGGACAAAACTCCTGCCATTCGCATCGCTATGAGGCCGTGGTGGCAACCCCCTTTTCTCCTTCCGCTTTTCTTTTGGCCTCGAAGGATGATCAACTTCCTTCTTTTCGATGATGAATTCACGTCCAATGTCATTGACACCGCGTGCCTCTTTTTGATGAGCTGCAGTGCTGTCAGTAACCGTTGCGAAATCCTCCGCCCTTTCTCGTGTCTTGCCCTTCTGTGATATACTGTTATAAAGGTTCTCGGATTTCTTCGTTCCTCTGGCTCTCTGAGTCCTTCGGAGGATTCACACAAGTGATCCGTGTTTGGATCTTTATGCTGTATACCCAGTACAGTGGCGGACTCGGTAGCTTGTGTCTGCTTTTGAAAAGCAGATGCATCGATAGAGGAATATGGATTGCGAGAATCAAGTTGAGGTGAGGAGACCCTTGATCCATTTTTATCAGTACCAGACGGAGGACTGCCCTGGTCGCGCGCGTTTTGCACGAAGGGGTTAGGCTTGAACCTTGTTGAAAAGTGAGCAGCATAGGTAGAAGCATAGTAGTTGGACTCGAGTCCGTTGGCTGCAGGACTCTGAGCCTCGCAAGTGTTCTCGAGAGCGCACACAGGTCCAATGGGCGTTTGGAGCAGAAGTGGAGAGCATGTAGGCTCCCGTGTCAAAGGTCTGTAGAGGTAAATGAGTATGTGTAAGAATATAGCGATGAAGTTCACTCACGGAATCGATCCGCTATTGTGCTCGGCGACGGGTAATGGTACCTGTCTGGCTGTTGCAGATGTCGCAATGTGGGTGGTCGGCTCGCAATGGGTCGCGGGTACACTAAGCCTTGGCTCACTCGGCGGATCGTGTTCAGGCTGTTCTGCTCCTTCGCCATTACTATAAACAAATGAGCTGTTCGCTCCATATAGACAGGGAATGGACTTACTTTGATTTGTTGACGTCCTCATCATCCTCGTCCCGAAACTTCGTCCATTCCCGAAAGTACTTGGGTATCCCTTGTTGTGTACAAGGGGCAACAGCTCCTCGGGCATCCGGGCCTTCCTCGTTATTCGGGGTGTGCTGGGGAATTGCCATCGACGGACCCTTGGCTGAACTGCAGCACGGGAATGAGCTGCGAACTATGGAAAAAAGCGCACACGACTACTTACTGACAGCCACGGGCAATGGTGTGCATTTGTGGTTGTTGGGAAAGAAAATAATCAAAAGGCGAGGAATATTCTTGCTCCATTCTTCCCTTAGGGAATAAAGCGCAGACGTGAGGGATGATAGCTCTACCGGGTGGAGGAGGAGAGAGATGGGGCAGCGTTAGAAGCGTCGTGGCTTATTGGAGAGTAGTTGGAAGTGGAGAGAGTCAAAGCCAGAGCCGGCTGGGTTGGACAATATTTATACAATACGCTCAGTATTTGGATAGGGATTTGATTGATTGGAAAGGAAACATTCTCCAAATCGAGCACTGGAATTTTCCGCTTGAACGACGAGAACGTACCTCCTGTGCCCCTATACTGTGCGCTTAGGCAGTGAGCCGTGCATGACTCGCGAGGCCAAAGCATACGCATTAAACCATTTCAGACAATAACGGCCACGATCGATGGTTCAATCGCGAAGCGGGCGCTTCCGTTCGCCATCAGCACGAGTAGCACGATCCGATTGGAGTGCAGCATCTTCACCCTCTCGACCTTATTCTATGGACGCTTAACACAGCTAGACGAGGCAGAATCAAGGTCGTGCTCGTGCGCCCTTCCCTCTCCCTCCCCTCTTACAAACTACTATATACGTCTGTGCAGACTGCCTCGCCGTGGTTAGCGAGCGATTAGCAAAATGAGAAAATCAATGGCTATATCGGCACGGCATCCTCTGACAATCGCTCATGTTCTGTGCCCTGTCCCTCTGCGTATCATGCATCCCGTCAACGCGGGAAGCATGCTGGGCTGCTCAACTCTACCTTATGGCGATACATCTTCTTGAACCAAGGTGTTTGCCAGCAAAATTTCTGATGGACAAGCGAGGCAGCAGATCGTCTTTGTTTTACGGATGCGGGCAGACTGCATATTCCAGATGGCCTAACCCAAAGCGAGACGCACTGACTTCTGATTTAAAGACTGTCCCAGAGCAAGTGTACTTAACTTAGGACCTCCCTGTAACATGTGTTTATCTCCAAGGAACAATGTGCGAAACTATAGACTATTATTGCCTTGCCTTAATGACACTCTTTGGCCCCATTGTAGTAGCTGATATTCTATTATTTACATAAAAGACGATGTCCAGCGTTAGTAACTCATACAGACAGGTGAAGACGAAAGACTGTGTATTTTGATCCATCAACCCTTACTGCAAGCCGTAAGTTCGTATTTGATCTTAGCTTACACGACACAGTAAGTTCTATAAGGGAAAGAGAAATCACATCTATTTGTGGATGACGTACACGGGGTTAAGAGATCGAAGGCAACAAGCCAAAAGCAATGAAGAGGCAAGCAATACAGTTCTCTTCTAAGACAACATGGTACGTCGCACAGCACGAATGGTAATGCACAATCATTATAAGACAGCTAAAAAGCGGGAAGGAGAATACAACAAAGATGAGAGAAGTCAATGAAGATGTGGAAAGCGTTTGTGGATTTGAAGATCTGTTGAAATGAAAGGAATCGAAAAAAGAAGCAAAAAGCATACAACAAACAAAGTAAAGATATCTTCATCTTCAAAGATGCGTTAATGCCTCTGGAGAAACCTTTGCTCTTTTCTGTGAGCGAGACATCTGCTAGTTCGAATTTGACACTATCATGCCACCTAGATGATAGCATGAAATTCGAATTCGCTTCCTCAGCCACTGCTCTCCCAGTTTCTGCTGCTGCCTCCTTTGAAATAGGGAATTAATCTAGTACGAGTGCCAAATTCATTTCCTGACTGCTAGTGGTGGCTCATAAATAAAGCCTATTGCTGATTGGCAATCGCTTGTGCGTGGGAAAACTGGTAAGCTGACGAGCTGACGAAAATTGAGGTTGACGTTGCTATATCATTACAATGCATGATACCTCTTAGCTTCGACATAATGAACAACAGGAGTAATGTAACGTGGGTCTTGTACAGTTTTGGCTCTATCCAGAGCTAATGAATAATTCCTATCTAGGCTATCAGAGCATTCAATAGCAACTTTGTCCGGTGTGCGTAAGACCATGTATCTGTTCTGTATATTATTCTCGAGGGCGGCGATGCTGCGAAAGGCGCGATGATGTCTCAGGATGCTCAAGGTATACTCACAAAGGTAGAAAAAGTGAGTGGCATGGCACAGATGTTGGAATTTTTGACGCTCATCATGTAATTTCAACACGCTTCCAACTTGTGCAACCCAGGCATGAGCGAACTCTCAATTGTCTGTGATCAGTCCTCGATTACATTCATCAATATTTTTCACCCGATGTATTGTCTGGGCCTCCCTAATGATCGCTTGGCAAAAGGCCCTCTGAACCATCAGTTCCTTCGTGCCATTGACGTCTCTCAGACACGTTATCTGACATTCATCGTGTCAAATACGCTATCTACTCGGACCTTCTCTTCATCAGTGACCATGTTAAAAGTGCGCATCAGTGTTATAGTTTCTCTGCCAGACTAATCATAACCGTCTTGAACCTAGGAATAGCGGGCAAGGTATGAGGAACTCCACTAGATAACGCTCTATCCTAAACACTAAATCGGCTTCCTACAACAGTGTTTATAAAAGAAAGAGAATTTTCCGAGAACAACTAGAATACAGGGACGAACCAGCGAGCAAGCAAGCAGGAAAAAATTGATCCGATAATGGTAAGACTGCGATTAGGAAACGGTGGTGAGTAAAGCAAGGAAAAGCTTTAGGACTAGAATGTGCGGATGCTTAGAGGGGCAACAGCGGGACCAGATAAAATGATAGAGGGGGAGGGTGGGCGGGTGGATGGAAAGTTCGTCCCTTGACGAGGTTACCGCAAGCGACGCCGTTTGGTTCCTTTGCTGGAACCTTCGTTGTCGCCATCATCCTTGCTGTCAATCTCCTTCCCGTCCATCCTTTTGGTACCACCAGCAGCAACCCTCGACGAGAGTACCCATTCGCTTTTCAGGCCCAGTTCTTGTCGGTCCTTGTCATGCGCCTCGGTGAGTAAATGACGCTCAATGGACTCCCATGAGTCCCTGGAGACCCGACCGTTGCACGTTTTGCAAAGGAGACTAAACGTCTTTGAATGATCCCTCAAATGTTTTTTGAGGGCGGCCAACGTGCCAAGGGGCTTCTTACCGCACTTGAGCGGACAATCGTGCGGGCCACCCTCCGGTAAATTGAGCCTTTTGAAATGAGATCCGAAATGGCTGAACAGATCCTCGGAAATCACAACGTCGCTGCAGCCAGGGAGAGAGCACGTTATTCGCTCTGACCTAGAAACGCCCCGATCCAGCCCAATCTTCGCCGTTATAGATAAGCGCAACGGTTTTGCGGATGTCCCATCCGCTTGTAAGAGCTTTCGGACAAAGCCCCTGCCATTCGCATCGCAAGGAGGCCGCGGAGGCAACTTCCTTTTCTCCTTCCGCTTTTCTTTTGGTCTCGAAGGATGATCAACTTCCTTCTTTTCGATGATGGGATCGCGTCCAATGTCTTTGACACCGCGAGCCTCTTTTTGATGAGCCGCAGTGCTGTCAGTAACTGTTGCGAAATCTTCTACCCTTTCTCGTGTCTTGCCCTTCTGTGATATACGGTTATACGGGTTTACGGATTCGTTGGCTCCTCTGGCTCCTTTGAGTCCTTCGGAGGATTCACACAAGTGATCCGTGTTTGGATCCTTATGCTGTATATCCTGAACAGTGGCAGACTCAGCAGCTCGTACTGGGCTTTCAAAAGCGGATGCATCGGCAGGGGAATATGGAATACAAGAATCAGGTTGAGGTGATAAGATTCTTGATTCGTTCTGAACAGAGCCAGACGCGAGACTGTCCTGGTCGCACACGTTTGCCATAGAGCGTTGCACGAAGGGGTTAGGCTTGAACTCTGTTGAGAAGTGAGCAGCATAGGTAGAGGCATAGTAGTTGGACTCGAGTCCGTTGGCTGCAGGACTCTGAGCCTCGCAAGTGTTCCCGAGCGCACACACAGGTCCAACGGGTGTTTGGAGCAGAAGTGGAGAGCATGTAGGCTCCCGTGTCAAAGGTCTGTAGAAGTAAATGAGTATGTGTAACAATATAGCGATGAATTTCACTCACGGAATTGATCCGCTATTATGCTCGGCGACGGGTAATGGTACCTGTCTGGATGTCGCAGATGTCGCAATGTGGGAGGTCGGCTCGCAATGGGTCGCGGGTACACTAAGCCTCGACTCACTCGGTGGATTGTGCACAGGTCGTTCTGCTCCTTCGCCAATACTTTAAACAAATGAGCTATTCGCTCCGCATGGACAGGGAATGGTCTTACTTTGATTTGTTGACGTCCTCATCATCCTCGTCCCAAAACTTCGTCCATTTCCGAAAGCACTCGGGTATCTCTTGTCGTGTACAAGATTCGATAGTTCCTGGGACGTCCTCGCCGTCGTCGCTGTGCGAGGCATGCTGAGGAATCGCTGTCGACGGACTATTGACTAGACTGCAGCACAGGAGTGAGCCACGATCTATTGAAATGGCGTGCGCAACTACTCACTGACAGCCATGAGCCATAGCGTGCAATTGTGGTTGTTGGGAAAGAAAATACTCAAAAGGCGAGGAATACCCTTGATCCATTCTTCCCTCGATGAATAAAGCGCAGACGTGAGGGATGATAGCTCTGCCGGGTGGAGAGGGGGATAGACAGGGTAGCGATAGAAGCGTTGTGGCTTGTTAGAGAGTCGTTGGAAGTGGAGAGAGTCAAAGCCAGAGTCGGCTGGGTTGGACAATAATTACACAATACGCTCAGTATTAGGACAGGGAGTTGAGTGATTGGAAAGGAAACCTTCTCCCAATCGAGCACTAGAATTTTCTGCCTCGACGTGCTTCAACGTGCCCCCTATACTGTGCGCTTAGGCAGAGAGCACTTCTCGCGAGGCCAAAGCACTCGCATTAAACCATTTCAGACAATGATGGCCATGATTGGTGGTTCAATCGTGAAGCGGGCGCTTCCGCCATCAGCACCGGGAACACGATCCGATTTGAGTGCAACATCTTCACCTTCAAGTTCTCGACCTTATTTTGCGGACCCTTGACGCAGCTGGACGAGTCATAACCAAGGTTGTGCTTTTGCCGCCCTCCGCCCTTTCCCCCCTTCAAACTACTACATAGACCTATGCAGACTGCCGTGCGGTGGTTAGAGAGCGATTAGTAAAATGAGAAAATCAATTGCCATGTCGGTACAGCATCCTTTGACAATCCTTCATATTTTGTGCACTGTCCCTCTGGGTGATAGTACATCGCGTCGATGCGGGAAGTACACTGGACTGCCCTACTCCACCTTCATGGCGATGCATCTACTTGAGACGAGTTGTTCGCCAGCCAGCGAAATTCCTAATGAACAAACGAGGCAATGAACTAGTCCTTGCAAATATGGGCGCGGGTGGATCGGATGTTTCAGATAACCCTCAGAGAAAGACGCACTAACTTCTGCCTTCAAGAGCGTCCCTGGGCAAGTGTACTTGACGTAGAAACTCCTATAACATAAGTTTATTCCCAGGGAACAATACGCGACACTATAGATTATTATCGCAGACAAGTCATTTTACTCATTAATTACAATTATTAATAGAACCTTAACTCGCGACTAATTGGGTAACTCTTTCCATTCTGATCCAAATCGATTTGCCATATGCACCACCATCTGTGCCACTCAATTTAGTATTATATTGTCTGACGTATTCTACATTTCTGAGACTCCCTATTTTCTAAGTTTCGCACCCTTGATATTCATTGATAATGTACTATCGTCTGGATGATGTCTTTGTGACATTTTGACCAAGAATTGCTATATCAGACTATTTGTGATAATAAAGACAAAACAGCATGACGCTTCCGCTGTTATCCCTTACTGCGGTGCATTTGTCTGTATGTGATATTGGTACACTGCGACATATGCTCCACACAGAAACAAAATATCCATCTAATTGTGAGCGAGTTTTACGTGAAGGAACAAGATTGGAGGCAAGACACCGAAAGTTATGAGGGGAGATCGATACACTTCCTATTTCCAATGGTACACGCTACGACGTACAACATGAATGCTAATGTACGAAATCATGAGATAGCTAGAAAACACAGTGGAAATGCAAGGTCAATATACAACGAAGATGAGAGCAATCAATGCAAATGAGTAAAGCATTTGTGAACTTGAAAATGACAAGGTCAAGGAAAGAAGGATAGCATAGAGAAGTCCGACTAATGTAAGACTACGAAAGGGAGGTGCAATTGGGCACGAGTTAGGAGAAATTCGGCAGCAATGCTACTCGCCTGAAATTTGATTATAGACGTCGTCGCTTCTTTCCCGTGCTCGAACCTTCGATAAATTCGTATTCGACGCCGCCATTGTCGGACGAGGCCTCGACCTTCACGGTATCCTCTTTTGTATGGTCCTCCTTATCAGCACCGATATCACCAACAACTTTCCACTGCAGACCGAGCTCCTTCCAGACTGCTGCGTGCTTTATCGGCTTGGTCTCGAGGTGCCGGATCACTTGATCCCAAGAGACCCTGCTGAAACTGCCCGAACAAGCTTCACAGTATTGTTCGCCTGCATGAAGATGGGCCTGCAGAACGTGCCGTTTCCGTGCTGGCAGATCTTTCTGGGTGCGTTTACATCCGACGACAGGACAGGTCGCCCCAGATGCAAGATCGAGGTGTTTGAGGTGTCCTTCAACGTGCTTTGCGACATCCGCTTCGCTTAACTTTTCCTTACACTCAGAGAAAACACACGTATATTCACTTTTCGCTTTCCGGAGGCCCATGGCCTTCCGTACACGATCCTTGGGTAGTGAGCTCGCCGAGAGGCCATCGCCCGTGATAAGCGCTTTGACAACGCTTTTGCTCTGCCGAGACGATTTCTTTTTAGTGGCATCCTTAGCTGGCCTTTTCATCGTAGAAACAGGCGCCTCTTGGTCATTGCTCAAACGGACCGGCTCAATCACGCTGGCATCGGCTTCAGGAACGTGTTCACTTTGCGTGTCCCCAGGGTGCGGTACTTCGCCAGCAGGCCCGGACGAGACCTGGAAGGTGAATTCAGCCTGCAACGGTGCAGTAGAGTGTGAACCACCATTATCTGAATGTGATGGAACAAGCGGCTGAGTCTTTCCAGTCGGGCTACCTGAGACCAGATTGGAACTCGGAGTGTGGGTGGGACGCACTGCCTCGGGATTGAGCTGCAGTTCCGAACGAAAGCAATCTTGTCCAATCGACTGCGAAACCGGAGTGAGAGACTCGCGATCAACGACCGTTCCGTGGAAAGGTTCGGAGAGCTCAATCGGGGTTGTGAGTGAAGGGGTTGCGAGTAAGGAAGGTGAGCGCGTGATTCCACGAGACAACGGTCTGCAGGAATGAGTCAGGAAACCAAAGCATCCTCCTTGAAGGATTCGACTCACGGAAGGGAATATCTCGAAGGCTCGCTGAGTGGACTTGCGTAATCTTCATTTATTATCGGATGATCTAGTGGTGCTTCCAAGGGGATCGAGAATCGACTTTCGCCTGTGCTCCAAAGGTGGCTGTCATGCAGCGAGTCGTCGAGCGGGTAGTCATTCCGTGAATGACCAGGATAGAAATCGGGAGCAACTGAGTTACTCTCTGTCGTGATTTCGGAGGTCAGCGCCTGGAGAGCAAATGATTCTTTTCCAATGTTCTGGATATCACTGTGCACGGTTAAGCTTTAGCCCTTAGAAAAGGGGAAAGCAACCTACTTTGAATTTTCCTGTGTCTTTGGGGGGTCGAAAACAGTACACCATTGGCTAAGATCCACTTCATCTTCTTGTTCGTAGCCGTTTGTACAGTTATTTTTGTTGTCGAAAT